TGATAAAATGATGTGATCCAAAATGGGTGCTGGTCACTGCTTTCTTAATAAAGGTTACAGATAACATTGAAGACAAGTTTGCTCCTCACCCTTCAGAGAGACCTGAAATAAATGAAGAGACATTTAAACTTTGTTTAGTAATTAGAAGAAAAAGGAAAATATAAGATAGAAATAAATGTCCTAAAACATATTATTAAAAGAATAGCTTTTTAGGGTTTAGATTAAGAAAATGGTGCTTTGATTATTAGGAACAAATCTGAATTCCTTAAGATTGGCTCTTATAAAACTTCCTCTTTGGAAGATGGATAAATTTGAATTCTGTAAATTTGAGTTCCATAAATAATATAGTGTTTTCATCTTCCTCCTCTTAAATGAAAGAAATATAGTATTCTAGACAATAATACTCAAAAGGTATCGATTGGATCCTATAAAACAAATGAAAGAGACTGTGAGATGTTCCAAAAACTTTTAAGTCTAGGATTCCAGTGAATAAGGGTCACATGTTTATGACAAGAATATGACCTTGATTTTCTCTCAATCAATCTTGATATTCACTTGAATAAAGACATAGTCATATTTATCAAACTTGCAATAATGGGTAGTGGCAGACATAATATGGCATGCCAGATATAATTTTTTAAATAATCTCAACTAGACTGAACAGCTTTTTCTCTGTGGTATCCTCAAGGCATAGCACAAAGATTGTCATACAGACCTTGGAAACTCCTTATTTTTTTTTTGTGGCAAAGTAAATGTACCACCATCTCCCCACAATGAATGTGGTCCGTATACTTCAAAGATGTACTAATATAAATAAATAAATAAATGCAAAGTATTTATTGAAAGAAAGAACGAATGAATAAAAACCAGCAGGGTGAAATTTACTACATAAAAATAATTTTTTCAGATAAAGAAAAGACTAAACCTGGTTCGATAGCCATTTACATAAATACTGAATAAACATAGTTCATTACTAGCTCAATTTAAACCGACTCCTATTAATAGAGGTAGAATATCTAGCAAAACTAATTTAACTACTATTTATTCAAGTCAAACTATGTGTCAAATACTAAATGCCATCTGAACATCACCTCCTAAAATTGACATTGGCAAACTAGTTGTTCAACTGTTCTCTCCTGCCTGTGTAGTCAGGAAATTAAGATATGGGAATCTTTTCAGGAGATATAAGTGAAGTATCTGGATATTTTTTTAACTTGGGAAAAGAAAACAGGAGAAACTTGCTTCAAATATTTGAAGACCTGCCATCGGAAAAACATATCTTAGTCATTCTCAATTTCACTCAAGAAAAGCATACAGAAACTGCAGAGAAAAAGAACTGCTTTAGTGCACAGAAGCAATTTTTTAACAGTTAGATCCATCTAAAAATGGATTAGCTTACCTTACAAAGAAAGGAACACTTCATCACTTTAAGAGTTCAAATAAAAATTAACTAATTTACCAGAGGTTTTGCAGAACAATTATCCTTGTGTCTGTAGGCCACTAGTAGGGATGATTTAAAGACACTTCATTGGCCTGATGTTCTGATTGTATGTTCCTAAGGATGTTGGCCCCTCCTCCCCCAACATTATCATAATCTCTTTTCATGAGTTGTCTTCTTCCAACTTAATGCCTGACCACCTATCTTTCTTCTTATTCCAGTTATTCCTATTTATGTGTAAAATATTCCTTCTGTGATGATCAGTTGGGGTAAGAGACACTCATATAGATGGTTAAAAGTTTTATGGAACTGTCTTTGGTGGTATTTCCCGACGTCACCATTCAGACAGGTGGGCCATCACCCATGCAGGTAGATCCTTGGGGCCTGAAGGAAACAAAACTATGGAAGAAGAATAAATTGATTTTCTGCTGTAGCTAGGGCATCCACTTGGCCTGCACTCAGGTATTAGTGTTTCTGGTACCCAGGCATTTGAAACTTGGACCAAACTATAGCACTGGTTTCCACGATTTTCCAATCTACAATTCATGGGAATTCTCAGCCTATATAATAACATGAATCAATTATTCCTTCTCGGGGCTGGGGATTTAGCTCAGCGGCAAAAGCGCCTGCTTGGCAAGCGCAAGGTCATAAGTTCGGTTCCCGGTACCGGAGAAAAAACAAACAAAAAAAAAAAACGAATTATTCCTTCTCTCTCCACAGCTCTTCTGTCTCCATATGATAGATAACAGATAGATAGATGATAGATAAGTACATAGATAGGTAGATAGAGATGTAGGCAAACATATAATAGAGTACCCCTGGGTTCAATCCAAAATCCCAGAAAAAAAATTTCAACACCTTTACTGTAACAGCCAATGGTCAAAGCACTTACATTCATTCTTGTTGCTCTGTAAGAATATTGTTAGCTATTTTTTTCTACTTTTTTGCTTTTCCAATTATTTTAATTTTTTCAATGATCGTTTTTCTCTCCATTATTAACTCATAGCAGTTTCCTAAGGGACCGGTTCTTTCTATATATAAGTTTTTATTACCGTTTTTGATGATAGGATTAAGATAATTCTTAAATTCTTAACCCCAATAATGTAAACGATACAACTAACACTATCTGTATCCAAAAACTAAAAGGATATCAAATGTTTTCACCATGAAGAAATGACAGCTTGAGATGTGTTTAATACGACTTAAATGTTATACAATGTGTGTACAAATACACGTATAATACCCATTATTATGTTTCTGTTTGTTTTTATGTATCAATTAAAAGGCAAAACAAAAAACAAGTCTGGGTATGTCACAAATCAGTACATAGCGTAGCCAAAGATTCTACCAATCCTTTGCACATTACCTATATTTCAAAATTCACCTTAAGTTGTTGGCACAAACACAGCTTTTTAAAAATTTTGTAGAGAATGAAAACTCTACTCCCTAACCACATACAAAGCTCATTCTTCAAAAAATTCTCCCATTTCCTATTAAGTAGCCACTTAGGTTTCTAATTATTATTCTAGGCATACTCTGTAGTGCTTAAAGTTTCTCTAAATTTTACCAGACATTGGCTAAAACTGAAATATTCCCCATTCAAAAGTTTATTCCCCATTCAAAATCACTAACAGTGCAGTTGGAGTATATGGTTGCCATGTGAACGTGTATGACCTCGGGGTCTGAACAAATGTTCACTCTTATAAAAGGTGTGGGTCAGAACTATATAATAAAAATTTCTGAGATGAAAATGTTTTCTATACTGTCTCATATAAGGCTTCAAGCCCCACATGCACTTGAAATGTAGTTAGTACAACTGAAGGCATAAATTTCCAACTCTAATGTCTTTACAAGAAGGAATATAACTGATAACATTAACAAATTATTATTACTGTATCATAACATATTGTAGCACCAAAACTGACTTATCCTTGTAACCAACACAGAATGTACTAGTACTATGTATAGGTTGCCATGCTAAATGATGAAGAGCTCAAAGACTATTAGATACAATGGGTAAGTAAACATTACAATATAGCTTTATTTGCTATTAGAGACTTCTAAATAAGGAATTGTTGGGACACAGCATATAGAATATTATCCATGGGTTTCATTAAAGGTTTATTTAAACTGGGACAATATGGAAGAACATGTCGCAAAGTAACATGGGAAGAATGGGAAAGAACATGTCGCAAAGTAACATGGGATAAATGGGAACTAAGGTGTTGCACAGGCATTGAAGAAGATGCACAGAGTCCTGAAAGGGCTTAGTGAGTCTTTTACCCACAAGCTATTCCCTATGTGGGATGCAGCGGCACCAGCAGGAGCAGCAGCAGATGTTAACAGGAGGTAGACTCCACGGTAGGTCAAATGGTAACGAAAACTTTGGATGCCAAGTGGTCACATAATACACTATACCTTATTTTTGTTTGGTTGGTTGCTTTTTTCTGTACTGGGGATTGAACCCAAGGCCTTTACACTGAGCAATCCTCACTCCTCCTCCTCCCCTAACACACACACTTTTCTTGAGACAGGATCTTGCTGCATGCTAACTTGCTCAGGCTGGGCTCAAACTTGCTACCTCTTGCCCCAGTTTTGCAGAACCGGGGATCACAGGTGTGTACCACAATATTGTTTGAATTTTTATACTTCATTTAAAGTACCCCCTTTTTTAATCCACGTTATTTAATTTGTGATCTGTTATGGCAACACTGTGTCTTCCCTATCCACCAGTGTACTCCATGACTAGTCAATCAACACTTGGTTCATGAATAAATATTTCTGCTTGTTCGGCAGCCGGATGGATCAGACTACCGTCTTCCAAGTTGTCTGACTTCTAGGCTTTCACCTGTTGGTCCACATCGGGTGGCCAGACAGCCTCACTGGTATGGCACTCAGTGACAGCTTTTATGACAGCGCGCTACACAAGTTCAAGTAAAGCTGGACATTAGCATAAGTATGTTAGTGCCTCTGGATGTGAGTTATCCAAAATAAGAGATGGGAAAGGAACTAAAATAACTCCCCTTTTACCAACTCTATTAATAAAGCTTCTGATGAAAAAGAAGAAAGTATTTTTTAAGTGAAAAGTGAGATCTAAAGTAAAACAGCAAGAGAAAGTTACTCCGGAATAAATGATCTCGTGACTCTCCTCAAAAGGTATTTCACTTTGGGCCCAGTGAAAACGTAAAGAATTGCCTTAAAAAAGTGAAGCGGACAAAGCCAAGGGCCAGAGAAAGAAGAGGAGATGCTGATTGCATCCCTCCCACTTGCCCTAAAAAACAAAGAACCGAAGGAAAAAGTGGGTGATTATCACTCCCTGGGAACGTAGGAACAATGCAAACATCTGGAAAAGAAAAAAAAAAAACCGCGTTGCAAACGCATCCCTTCCTCTAATCGGCTGGGCACCATCCCACAGGCTTCCCGGAGTCTCCTTAACCTGGCCTGCCGAAGCTGGGCAGGCGCCTCCGCAGAGAGTGGGCGGGGCCGAGCTCTCGCCGAGCTCCCTCCCTCGCCGGGCACGCGCGTTTGGTATTGAGTGAGAGTCTTGTCCCTCGTCGCGGCCCGTTCCGTCCCGCCACGGCCGCCGCTGCGCTCATTGGGCTGACGTGTGCAGCTCCTCGGCGTCGCGGCGAGTCCGTCGTGATGGCGGACGCCTGGGAAGAGATCAGGCGCTTGGCCGCCGACTTCCAACGGGCGCAGTTCGCCGAGGCTACGCAGAGGTGCTGGATCCTTCCCCTCTCTCGCGGAACCCAAATTAGGCCCAGGGCGGACTTGTCAGCCTGAGACGTAGCTCCTGGAGCTGTCCGTCCCTGCTGCCCGGGCCGCCTCTCTCTCCCCTTCGCCGGAGCCCGGGCCGCGGTTTCGGGTCCAGGTCCCGGCGGGGAAACCCGCGGGCCGAGAGGCCGGAGCCGCGTCCCGCCCCGGCGGCCGAGGCCGGCGACCCGGCCCCCGAGAGCTGCTCCTGGGGCCCTGCGCGCTTCGCACGCGCGCGAGGGTGAGGAGAGACCGCGGAGCGCGCTCGTTCTTTACCTTCCTCCTGCGTTCCCGGTTCCGATCACGGATCGGGGCCGACCGTGACGCCATCTGTCACTTCAGGGACTCCGGGCCGCTGACATTTTCTGCAAACCTGTGAACCTTTATCCGAAACACCCTGACACTGCTCTTCGTTGTAGTGGGTAGCGAATAGGACCCTTTTTATCCGTTAACTATGTTTATCCAGAATGTTTTCCATCTGGACCCGGGGACAGTAAGTCTCGGTGCTGTGCTTTGTAGCGCTTTGCGTAAAAACAAACAAACGGGGCACCGTGTGTCTGTCCCGTCGCAGTTACGTTTTCAGTGGGCCAGGTCTCCTGTCTGCAGACCAAGGGGATGAGAGGCCTGTATCCACTTTTTAAAAGAAAAAATTTAAACGGAAGTAAAACTAGGGCAAGTGTTCTTCTACTTACATTAAATGTCAGTTTTATATTCGCATTTAAAGATTCAAAGCAAGCCCAGAAGAAAGCAAAGTGGCCGTTTCTAAAATTATTTATATCAGTTAAGTAAGTGATTTAAGTGTATGTAAACGTGCTTACTCTCAGGAGATTTTTTAAACCTACTGAATCAGTACTGTTGTATAATGAAAGGTATAGATTTTGTAATATAAAAGTAATAACTCTACCCAAACTTCTTGAAAGCCTGATTTGGTACACTTTTTTATTGGATACCAACTTATCAAAATTTTCTTAAAACATTTTCCCCCCCTCAGGTTGTCAGAGCGGAACTGTATTGAGATTGTGAATAAACTGATTGCTCAGAAACAGCTAGAAGTAGTTCACACACTTGATGGAAAAGAATATATTACTCCAGCCCAGATTAGTAGAGAAATGAGAGATGAGCTACATGTCCGAGGTGGTAAGTAATTTCTCAGCAGTTCCCCCATTCCTGGATTGTAGGAAGGCCAAAAGAAGAATCCTACCTTAAAATCATAACTATGTAATATATTCATCTTTCTCAATTTTTACCTTCCCAGTTCCTGGGGAAAGAAAAATTCAGGGCTTCTCAAATGCTAAGCACACTGTACCACTGAACTATATCACTCTTCTCAATTGTTAACTTGGTAATCACCCTTAGTATTTTTGGTAGGTCCATGCTCAGGTATATCACTTAATAAAATAATAGTTTTTTATTATTTTGAGCTATATGTATTGTGTGTGAGTTAGCTGACCATTTATTTTTACCGTTCATTAATTTATTTCATGACCCAGGCAAGGGTACTTAGCTGCCAGTTATCAGATGGTAACTGTGGGAGAGGTCAGAGATTTTTAAAAGATTGTAAATTTTTTTCACAGGCAAAAATCAAAGCTCTTTTACTGTCCCTTTCAAAAAGAAAAATCTTATATTTACAAATTAACTCCAAATATCCATCCTATTAAACGAGGTGCTGTTATTACCAGTACTTACCCAAAAATTGTTTTCCTTTGCCTTTTTAAAATTTGAACAAACCCTGAGCAAATTGAATACAATCTAATTAAAATAGAAGCAACTCTTTACCACATGTTCTGGAGTGTAACCTTGGTGTTTACTTTTATCTTCCTGCAAACTTCTAATAATATATGAGCTATCATTTGGGATACTTAACAGATTTTCTTTTGCTAATAGATAGAAACCTATTTTTTCGTTTCAGATAATTTGAAATAAGTTTCATCATAATTTAGTTATCAAAATCTCTTTGGTCACAGTAGATAAATTCAGAGTTGTGGCATATTAGCTGATGTCAGCCTTATGTGATTAAAAAAGTTGGAAAATAAATTACTTATGGATTCAGCTATGAAAAGTTAGCGAATGCTTTACAATTGGGGACATTGATGATCATGGCTGTTTGCCCTTTGTAGAAGTATTTGAACTGTTCAAAACATATCTATTAAGATTTACACTGCTTGGCTAATTTGTACTTACATGTAATTTAGAATAAATGAATGTCTTTTCTTTAAAGGTCGAGTTAATATTGTTGATCTACAACAGGTAAACTATATAAAGTTTTTGTTCTGATTTCCCAAATTTTAATGCTATGAATTCAGTGCCTTTTAAAGTATTCACTAAGATTTATATTTTGAATATTTGTGAAGAAATAGTTTTGTAACCCTCATGGATAATTTTGAAATATTCAATAAACTCTGATACATTGAACTGATTTAGTAAGTTCTTCTTTGTTGTTTGATTGCTTACTACTTACCAAATCAACTCAAATACCATTTTATGTAGTTGGAATTTTTGTAATTTTGGAAGAAAAATTACTGGTTTCATATTTATGTTTTTAGGATGTAGAAGTAAGAAAGTAATAGTAGGCCAGGCGTGGTGGCGCACACCTGTAATCTTAGCACTCGGGAGGCTGAGGCAGGAGGATTATTGTGAGTTTGAAGCCAGCCTGGGCTACAAAGTGAGCTCAAGGCCAGCCTGAACTGCATAGCAAGACCCTGTCTCAAAAAGACAAAAAGAAAAAAAAAAAAAAAAGAGAGAAAGTAATAGTAAAAAGTAGAAGATATTTTCAAAACATGCATATGTGATTGCCAAAGTATGTTATATATAGGAAAGTAGAAAATATGTGAAATGATGTTTGTTATATTTAAATATAACTTACTGCTTAATATACATTTTCCTAGCAATTGAAATTCTTCAGAATTGAAAATAAATATCTTAATATATTATTTGGCTGAAGGTTTTAAAAATATTTTGTATCAATTTGAAATTTATCCAAGAGCAAATAACTTCTTTAAAAAATATAGTTTTAAATGTATTATTTCAAATGTAAGAAACATTAAAAACTTATTTTAGTAGAATCTCTCTTTATTTTCCAGGTCATTAATGTCGACTTGATTCATATTGAAAATAGAATTAGTGACATTGTTAAATCAGAAAAACATGTCCATCTAGTACTGGGACAGCTAATAGATGAGTAAGTACAACATCTAGAAGGACTTTGTTTTCTTTCTTTTATTCAGATAATATTTAAAATTTAGGCCAAATAGAACCGGGTAGACATTTTGTTTAGAACTGATTTTCATTATAAGGATCATCCCACTTAAAAAGCAAGTGCTTCATTATGTGTAATATATACTCATAAATATTATACATTTTTATCTTTGTACCTCTTTAATACAAACATAACGTGATCTTAACTCCAAAAGCAAATTTTTTTCCAAAAATCTTAATGAAAAATGACTATAAAGTTTGTACTGGTTGAAAAATAATCCCAAAACCTAACATTTGATTAACCATTGGTGATGAGGAAAAAAGCATTTTATAATATGAGTAATGAATAGTGTTTATCTGTTACTACTTTCGGGGCATATTCTTTGACAGAAATTAAACATAAAAGAAAAAATGGAGGAAAACCATTACTTCTAACTGATTTTCATTTTCTTTCTTTTGCTCAATATTAGGAACTATTTGGATCGGTTAGCAGAAGAGGTAAATGATAAATTGCAAGAAAGTGGTCAGGTAACCATATCAGAATTGTGTAAGACCTATGATCTTCCTGGAAACTTTCTAACACAGGTACTTTTCCTTAATAGTGTAGTGTCTTTTTAACAAATAATTTTAAACAGTGGATTTTAATGAGAGAAAAACACTAGATTTTCTTAGCATCAGTTGATTTGTTGCGAATATGTGACTTGATATATGTTGTAGCTATATATTTGGGGAATACTTCTGTACATGGATGGCTCTGAAGAGACTGTTTAAAATTACAGTGTTTCTGAACCATAAGACACTCTAGAAACAGTTAGTAGACTGAGCTCCAGAACTGTCTTGATGTAATAGCCAATATACCATAAGTGCATGAATTTCCTTAATGCTTCTGATACTACGTATGGAGAAACTTTACCCAAGATATCTGCAGTTCTGATTGCCCAGTTACAGCTTAAGAAGTAATTGTAGAAGATTATAACTTAGAGGGGCATTGCTGGCACATGTAAGTGAAAGTCAGGGATGCTACTAACCTTCACGTAGTGTAAAGACGAGCTCTTCAGCAGTGAATTTTGTTTGCGAAGATGTTAATAGTGCCAGTGTCTTTTGATATCTTTTCTCCTCTAAACTGACAGTATGATAGGAACAGCAAAGAATCTCACCTCTTTGTATATTTGTTAGTACACAGATCAAGTATCTTGATTTATAGTATAACACAACAGAAGCTATTTCTTTGTTTCAAGTAGTTAGACATTTTAGAATTGCAGAAGCCCTTTTGATATCGTAGAATGTGCATAGGCTTTGAGTTAAATAGAAAGCCTGATTTAATCGTGTCTATGCTACTTATTTGACTTCTAAGAAAATTATTTCATTTCCTTTGCACTTTAAGTTGCGTATCTGTAAAATGAAGATTACATCTGTTTTCATAGCCTTGAATGTGGCATGTCTAGTAAAATATCTGGCAGAGTGGAGGTACTCAACAAATCATAGTTTTGTGTTTATTTACTAAAATGAAGGAAAAGCCAAATCTCATTTTACCCACGTATCATTTTAAGAAAATCCAACTTAAAACTTACCAAATCATAATTGCAGGAGATTAATTTGTAGTGCAAGCAGATTTATTCAGCTTTATTAAGAGAGTTTCCCTACTTGCAGTTAAAATACCAGGTAGAGAGTATAGGTCTGTTTTATATAGCATTTCAGGAGCTTAAGTTCTGTTTCACATGAGCAAATGCATGTTAATCACAGAAAGTCAAACACTGTTTTTAAAACACTTTAAAAATACCAGGTTTGAATCCAATGATTTCTTATAAAACTGCTCTTGCATAGTTTTTGGAAATATATCAGTTCTTAAAATTTTTTAATTCTAATTTTTCTGTATCCTACAAGCTTATTAAGTTATTTTCCATCACAAAAATACCAGCTGAGCTATCTTCAGTAGATTTAATTTATTTTGGAACGTGAAATATGTCCAGACTTACTTCACATTTACCGACCCCAGGCGTAATATAACTATAGAGAAATGCTCTCTTGAGTCTGAAAACAGATTAAGTCCCTGACTTACAAATGAGTTCCGTTGTAGAACATGCATAAATTGGATTCATTTGTAAGTCCAACAAAGGGAGTCTTACCTTTGACAGCATACAATGTGTATTGCTTTGCGCTCCCTAGCAGTCCCCTGCCCATCACCTCTGCTTTTCTTCTTGCTTCCAGACATCCTGGGCCCTGATTGAGCACTGTATTGCTGTACACTATCTCACTGTGCAGTAAGCACACAGCAGTACAACTGTGACAATGTCCGGCAGACGTATGAGCTACTTCTGTGATTTATTCACATCTACAGATGTTCATAATATGAGATCTGTTCATGTTTGTGAAAATTCACAATTTAAATGTTCATAAGTTTGGGACTTAGTGTACCAAAAAACCATTTTAAAGTTTCTACACAGAGATAACTAGTTAATATTTGTGTGAGAGAGAATTATTTTCAAACCTTATGTTTCCCTAAGTAGCAGAAACTTGGAATAACATTTATTCCTCTCTGTTAGTGTTTGAAGCTCCAAATAGGATTTTCTCTGATAACTGTGTATAAATCTTGGCTGCTTTTTGTTGGGAGCTACCTAAATCCAGAAAATTGGTTAAATTGTTTTTATTTTACTATAGAAATAGACCTTATTAACAAGGGCTAAAATGATTGCTAAGCTTTTAATCATACAAGCAATTTCACTCATTTCTTGGCTCTGTTGTTATGACATTTACTAGACTTAGAACTTTCATTTTAGTTTATATATCTTCTAATTTATGCTTACTGAAATTTCTCAGTCATATGATTGATAAATCAGCATAAAGCGTGAATTGAATATGGCTATATCAAGCATAGTTTAATTTTGTATTTTCACATTAATAAAAATTTGCATCTTTATCCCCAGGCACTAACTCAGCGACTTGGTAAAATTATCAATGGACATATTGATCTTGATAACAGAGGAGTAATTTTTACTGAAGCTTTTGTAGCTCGACATAAAGCACGCATCCGTGGACTATTCAGTGCTATTACCCGGTAAACATGTTTTAAGTATATAGATTTGTATATAGTTGTTGGATATAACTTTATATCTTTTTCTAGCAGCTGATTTTTTTTTTGTTTTTTGAACCAAGTCTCTTTGAGGATCCCAGTTTACTGAGTGGATAGAAGGGGGAGCATCTGTGAAACAAGAATAAGGACACTAGAGTCCCAGACAAATGCAGCCATCATTTTGCCTTTTAAATTAATTGGTTTTCCTATAAACTGTTCTCATAGTGGTTTTTACAAATTCCTATATAACTATAGTGAACTACTTTCAGTTCTAAATTTTTCTTTTTTCCTTTCATTTAGGCCAACTGCAGTGAATTCTCTGATTTCAAAATATGGATTTCAGGAGCAGCTTCTTTACTGTGAGTTTTGTTTAAACTGTGTATCACCTGGGCTCGGGGTGTAGCTTGCTGGTGGAGTACTTGTGTAGTGCATTTAGGGCCCTGGGTTCAGTCTCCAGCATGTGTGTGTGCACACGCACATACACACATAAAGCACACAACAAATATTGTGTTAGGTCAGCTTTGAGACACTAAAATGAAATACCTTAGATAACTTAGAAAAGGCTTGGGCTGGGGCTGTAGCTCAATAGTAGAGCATTTTAGACATTTGCCTAGATTGTGCAAAGACCTAGGTTCAATTCCCAGCATTCAGCACCAGAAAAAAAAAAAAAGAAAAGAGAGGGTGCTTATTTTGACTCACGGTTTTTAAGTTTCCAGTCCAAGACTGGGAGGACTCATTTCTGTGGGACCTCGTCGGCATGCCAAGTAATACTGGAGAGAATGTGGCAGAGCAGAACACTTACCTCAGGAGCCAAGAAGCAGAGGCGGTAGCTATTGCCTCACAATCCCCTTTAAGGGCACCCCTCCCACCTTGTGACCTCCCACTAGGCTCTACCTCCTACCACTAGCACCAACCTGGGAACCAAGTCTTTAACACATACACCTTTGGGAGACATTCAGTATCTAAATTGTACCATTGCTGAGCAGACTATTAACTCAAAACTTAATAATTTAATGTATTTTCCTCTTTTAATCTTAAGACTTAGTGTTATTAAAATATTTCATTCTTTAAAGAAATTTCTATATGTTTTCATGTTTTTATCTATCTGGTATAAATATCCCTATGAAACATTAGTATTGGCACCTTCAGAGGAGTGGAACGAAAAAAGAAAAGTGTATACAAAATGAAAACATATACAAGTGTATACAAAATGAAAATACATACACGGTTTTACATTGAAAGAGAGAATTAAAATTGTAGGACTATGAATGATTTTTACTTTGTTTCTTAGGGTTTTTTATTAAATTTTTAAAATTAAATTGTGTTTTCTAACAAAAGTTTTATAGAGAGTTTGTAGCCATCAAAATATTGTATTGCTAAATTCTTAGTATTTGGTAATACATATCAGTAGATAAAAGTCGCATGATCCCAATACATGCAGAGAAAGCTTTTGATAAAGTCCAACACTCATTCATAATAAAAACTCTACAGAAAATAGGAATAGATGGCCTTTACCTTACTCTGAGAAAAGCCATCTAGACAGGTTAATAGCCAACATCATACTAAATGGACAAAAACTGAAGGCTTTCACTTTAAAATCAGGAACAAGACAAAGATATTCACTGTCACTATTCCTGTTCAGTATAGTTCTGGAAATATTAGCCAGAGCAATTAAACAAGAGAGAGAGAAATAAAACAACTAAGGATAGGAAAGGAAGAAATGAAATTATTACAGATGACATGATACTGAACATAGAAGACCCCAAAAACTACACCAGAAGGCTTACAGATTTAATAACCAAATTCAGTAGCATGGCTGGACACAAAGTCAGCACTCAGAAAGCAATACCCTTCCTGTACACAAACAACAAATAGACTGAGAGAGAAATTAGGAAACCACAGCTTTCACAATAGCACCCAAAAAAATGAATCAATCTTAACTCATTCAGTCTGCTTAGGAATCAATCTAAAAAGAAAGTAAAAGATCTATACATTTAAAATTTCAGTACTCTGAAAAAAGAGATTGAAAAAGATTTCAAAAAATGGAAAGATATTCCTTGCTCATGGATAGGAAAAACCAACATTGTAAAAATGGCCATACTCCCAAAACTGTTGTATAGATTCAATATAATCCCAATCAAAATGCCATTAGTATACTTCACACAACTAGAGAACATTCCTAAAATTCATCTGGAACCAGAAGAGACCTAGAATAGCAAAAGCAATCCTGGGCAACAAAGGCAAGTCAGGATATATCACAATCCCTGACTTGAAATTTATACTACAAAGCTACTGTGATAAAATCAGCATGGTACTATCAAAAAATATAGACCTAAAGATCAGTGGATCAGATTAGAAGATACAGATACAACTACAAATACATTCAGCCATGTTATCTTTGACAAAGGGGCTAAACATGTTCACTGGAAGAAAGATAGACCCTTTAATAAATGGTGCTGAAGAAAACTGGCTCTCCACATGCCAGAGTCTAAAACTAAACCCATATCCATCACCATGCACTGAACTAAAGTCAAAATGGATCAAATATAAATATTAAAACAGAAACACTAAATCCACTGGAAGAGAAAGTAGGTAGAAATCTTGAAGACACAGGGGTAACGGCATTCATGAACAAAAATCAGACTGCAGGAGAAATGCTTCAAAGAATCAACAACTAAGATCTCATCTTACTGAAAAGTTTTTGCACATCAAAAAAAGTCACCCATAAGGTAATAAGAAAACCCATGAATTGGGAAAAAAATTTTAGCCAACTGTCCCTCAGACCAAAGGACTTCTATCTAGAACATACAAAGAAGACCCCATCCAAAAATGGGCATCTGAGATGAATACACACTTCTCAGATGAAGAAATACAGGTAACAAATAAATATATGAAAAAATGTTCCACATCATTGGTCATTCAAGAAGTGCAAATTAAAACAACACTGAGGGGCTGGGGATTTAGCTCAGTGGCACAGCGCCTGCCTGGCAAGCACAAGGTCATTAGTTCCATTCCCAGTACCAGGAAAAAAAAAAAAAAAAAGCACCGAGATTCCACCTCACCCCAGAAAGAACAGCTATCATCGAGAAATCAACCAATAACAAATGCTGGAGGGGCTATCGGGAAAAAGGAACTCTTCTCCACTGTAGGTGGGAGTGTAGACTGGTGAAACCAGTGTGGAAATCAGTGTGGAGATGCCTCACAAAACTAGGATTAGAGGTCCCACTTAACCCAGCTACCCCTCTTCTAGGTATTTTTCCAGAAACACTGAAGACATCCTACCTCAGCGATGTACATGCACCCATGTTTATAGCAGCGTAATTTGTCATAGCTAAATCCTGGAAACAACCCAAATGCCCATTAACTGAGGAATGGATAAAAAGGATGTGATATTTTTAGACAATGGAGTATTACTCAGCTATTAAAAAAACAAACTTGAGGCTTTTATAGGTAAACAGATGCAGCTGGAGAACATACTCTCAGTGAAATAAATCAGACTTGCGTGTATAAACATCGTATTGTCTCCCTAGTGTAAGAACCTGAAAGAGTAAACAAAACTCAAAAGGTACGATATTGTGAAAGGGAAATAAATTGCTCAAAGGGAAGGAACAACTGGGATGAAGGAAAGGAGAAAAGAAAGAAGGAAGGAAGGAGGGGGAAAATATATGTATATGTATATACAAGGATAACTGGGTTAATTATACTGCTGATGTCTATTGGTTTATTGAAAGAAACAGTTAATGCTTAAATTTTTTTTGACTAATTTTGCATGCTTATACTGGTAAGCTGAACAACTAATTTGAAGACAACAATATGCAGTATAAGAACCATTGTTGAATTCCTATCATCTTGTTTAGTGAAGCTCTGTGTTGTTTCTAATTTACTTTATTAATTTTATTCTCTTTGATTGTTTGATCAGTCTTTCATTCTTACATCTGTTAATCTGAGCAACTTTGTTGAAGATAATAATATGTAATATAACATCCATTGTTAATTCCTATCATCTTGTTTTGAAATCCTGTATCATTTTTATTGTTCTGTTGTTTTTTGTCTTTGTTATTTTCTTAGGGTTTTTTTCTCTTTAGCATAAATAAATTCTTAGTATTCGAGCAGCATATTATCACCAAAATAATTTTGGTTCACTGTCTGTTGTTTGCGTGTTTATGAAGCTTTTACGAGATTTTGAGGGTTATTTTTAATGTTATACTGGAGTAACTTTTTACATCAAGGACTTAGCTTTTAATTTAGATATCTGCAAATTTAAGAATTAAAATGAGTTGAGAACATATTCAGGTGTAGAACTAAAAATTTACTTTTGTTTACTGTATATTCCAGAATGTGAACATTTAAAATTTTTGCTTGAGACAGATTTTAGCATAAGCAACAATTAGTACCATTTCATTATAATGTAAAATTCTTCCAGTAATAATTGATAACTTGATAATCTTGTTCATAATTTAGAATGGATTTTATACAATCACACTAAGTTGAGAACCAAATGTTTCCGTCTATTGAGAAATCTGTACTTACTTTACTCAACATTGATTCTGAAATTCATTTATAAGCTAATTTTTATTTATGTTAAAGGCTAATTTTTATAAACCTTTCTTTATGCCAGACATCTTTTGATTGTGCTTGCTGATTCACTTAAAAATAGCTATTTTCCATCTGCTTTGTCTTTTTGAGAGGACTTTACTAGTTAAAGCAAGAAAATATTTAGTTAAACTTTCTGTTTCAAATAAAAAGCATGAATATATATTAATGGTGGTACTGTCCAGTTTTCAAACTGGCCACAATGTTATGATGGCTGGTGACATTCGTGTTGCATTTAGTTAATATTGAGCTTAGCAAGTGATCACTGTGTACTACTATTCCAAGGACTTTACTTGAATACAGCAACCCTGTGACTTAAGAATGTTATTGTCCCTATTTCAGAGATAGGACAATGGAAACGTAAAGGAGCTGACTTACCCAGTGTTTTAAAGCTAGTTAGGTGATGGAGTTGAGATTTAGATTATGCTTAATGGCTCTAAAATCCATTCTTTCTTGCCACCATCGTGGCATTTTTCTTCTCTCTTTTTTTTTTAAATTGGTACATTTTAGATATACATAATGATCACATTCATTATAGGGAATTTGTACCTAAAGGTGATATATCTTTCTCCTTTTTTTCCCATTCCCTTTCACTCCCTTCAGCCCCTCTTTCCTTATTTACAAAAGGTATGTTTCTGTTGTTTTCCTTGTATTCTCTTTTTTCCCATTGTCCTTCCTTTCTCCCTCTCTCCTCCTTTGTTCCCTTCTCATTTGAACGTTTTCTTCCTGTTTCCCAATATCTGTTAGACATTTTGATCCTTACACTTTTTTTCCTCACACCAGATAAGCAATGCAGTGTTTAAACATATTTGCCATTTATTTCATTTAAGAATATGGTCTCAAGATGCACCCATTTAGCTATAAATGTCTCAAGCTTATCCTTCTTTATGGCAGGGTTGTACTCCATTGTATAGAAAAAATATATATTTTTATCTGTTCAGCAATGGATGGACATGTGGGCTGTTTCCAAGATTTAGCTATTACAAACTGTGCCAGTATAAACATGGGTGTTCATAAATTGCTGTGGTATGATGCTTATAATTTTTTTTTGGAAGATACCGAAAAGGGGAATAGCTGGGTACAATGGAACCTCTCATTTTAGTTTTTTGAATTATCACCACACTGATTTTCTCAGTGGTGACACCAGTCTCCACTCCCACCACCAGTGGAAAAAGAATTCCTTTTTCCCCACAGCCCTGCCAGCATTTGTTATTGCTTGAAAAGTAGACCGGTATCTTTTATGATGTACTAAACTAAAGTCAAAATTGATCATCAGAGATTTAAGGATTAAAACGAAAACACTCTGCTGGAAGATAGAATAGGTATAAATCTTACAGACATGGCTGCAGGTAAAGACTTTATGAACAAAACTTGGAGTGTACAAGAAACATCATGAAGAATCAACAACTGTGGTTTTATCTTACTAAAAAGCTGTTGAATAGCAAAAAAAAATAAAAAGAAAACTACTAACAGAGTGAAGAAAAAACCCACAGTACAGGAAAAAGCTTTTGTCATCTGTTCCTCAGACAAAATAATAATACCTAGAATATATAAAGAACTCAAAAGAATCAGACCCTCCAAATTTAAAGACTCAATACAAAAATAGCCATCAGAAATGAATAGATATTTCTCAGATGAAGAGGTAGAAACGGCAGATAAACATATGATAAAATGTTCAACATCCCTGATCATGTGAAAGATGCAAATTAAAACAATGCTGAGATTCCATCTCCCTCCAGAAAGAATGGCTATCATCAAGAAATCAACCAGTAACAAATATTTCTTTTAGGGGCTGGGGATTTAGCTCAGTGGCAAAGCGCCTGCCTGGCAAGCGCAAGGTTGTGAGTTCGGTTCCCGGTACCGGAAAAAAAAAAAAACAAATATTTCTTTTATAGGTCCAGTTGAAATGTTTTGTTTTGGTTTAAAGTATGGAAATGTAATAGCATAAGATAGTTACAGTTTTATTTCATACTGCTGACACTAATGTGGTCCAGGTGTCTTCATTTTTCTAAATACAAGAAAATTGAACTTGGTAGCACTTGGTGAACTTGGTAGCACTTGGTGAACTTGGTAGCACTTGGTGAACTTGGTAGCACTTGGTAGCACTTAAGCACTAATTGAACTTGCGCCTTACCTGTTCTCAAAGCATTTGATCATTCACTATAAAACAAATCCTGCAATAAATAATGACATTTTGGCTTTTGTTCAAGATTATCCAAACTAATAAATTCTAGAACATGATTTTTAACTATTTTGAGTTTCAAGTTCAACATCTTTAACTAGTTGCTAAAAATGTCTCTATGTTTATAATCTGAGTATTCTCCTAAGTGACAGAAAAATTCTGCTTAAAATATAATAACTTCATTTACACTATTTAGACTTCTACGTTTTTAAAATGGTAAGATTATGTGGAACATGAAATAATGAAGTATTTTACTTTTTAAGGTTTATACTTGTGATTTATGTGCATTTGTGTGGGTTTATTTAAGCTGTACTTGAGGAGCTTGTTAATTGTGGACGTGTACGAGGCACTGTGGTTGGTGGAAGACAGGATAAAGCGGTGTTTGTCCCTGACATCTACTCCAGGACACAGAGTACTTGGGTGGATTCTTTTTTCAGGCAGAATGGCTATCTTGGTAACTATGCTTTTTTTCTCTGAAACTAAAATTTCTTTCTAATACTAAGACATTCTTAGAAAGCATTGTACTAACCCTGGATTCCACATGTATTTTCCTATCAGAGTATAATGGTTTCCTTTGGGTGTGAAAGGACTGACATTGAAAGTTTCTGTGGGTCTTAGAACTGAGCTTAATTCCAGTTACTAAATAATTTTAATATACAAAGGACAAAAGCTAGCATTGTTATTATCCTTCCAGTCATATTAAACTGAAACTAAACTTTTAAGTATTTTTAATTCATAAAAGTCATTATATCTTATATTGTATGAAGTTGCCCATTGTTCTGTTACATCATTTCAGGAATATCTCTCTGTCAACTTTCTAGTGTTCGTTTTTATCAACTGTGTAATACTTCAGAAACATTGAAATCATTCTGAATTCTGTATTAGAGATTCTGCCATAATGGATTGAATTTAGTCATTCAAAAATCAAAAACATATTAAACTGTTTGATTAATTTATAACACAACAGACTACATTCTCAGTATAAAACCTCTAATGCCTGGTGGCACATGCCTGCGATCCCAGCTATTCAGGAGCCTGAGGCAAGAGGATTGCAAGTTCAAGGCCAGCCTAGGCAACCTAGTGAAATGCTGTCTCCAATTTTAAAAACATAAAGAGCTGGAGGTGCAGCTGAGTGGTAGAGCGCTTACCTAACCTGCATGAAAACCTGGATTCAATCCCTAGTACTACAACCAAAAAAGAAAAAAGAAAAGAAACTTGTAATAAACATCTGCTAGGATCCTAGGATTTGACCTTTATGTTACATTTTTTAGTATCTTCAACCAGAGAACTTAGATTAGAATTTCTCTATAACTAGTTTTCTTAAGAGTTGTTTCCAGGAGGGGTTGGAGAATGAGGAAGGTTGATATTTTCAATAAGTACGATATCTACCAATTTAAGTCTTTTTATGCTAAATCTTTTTCTAGTTTAAATAAGACTGGAGAATCACTTTATCTAAGTGTCTGGTGATACATTTTGAAAAATAAATTGTATTCCTTAAACTGTAATAAGCAAAGTAAACTATAGTTTTTTTTCTTCACCTAACCCATCAACTACCTCCTTCACCCCTGTTTTCCATTCCCACTCTCTGTAGTCCTCATGTTTATCCATGTTTTCCTTTGGCCCTTCAGTTGGGAAGTGAATAATGTCTAGTATTCAGGAAGTACTTGAACCAATTTATCTAAAACTGTTTTTAATAAAACTTTGGGATGGTAAAATTACCGGGAAATAGGCTACAATACACTTTTGTTTTATTCCTTAACAGTATTGGAACACATTACATTTATAAGCAAGTAATAGGTTTTGGTAGAACTTAACTTTTTCTGATTTTCATAAAGGTGCAAGTGATTAACAATTCTATCCAACTTTGTGATGCATTTCTAGAGTTTGATGCTTTGTCCCGACTTGGAATCCCAGATGCTGCAAACTACATAAAGAAAAGGTACAAGACTGCACAGCTCTTATTTCTGAGAGCAGCTTGTGTTGGTCAAGGACTTGTGGACCAAGTGGAGGCATCAGTAGAGGAAGCCATCAGCTCTGGAAGCTGGGTTGATATTTCAGTATGTTTTCTCCTCCTAATTTTTCTTATCATTTAGTGATATTTTGTTAATATATGGCTGTTTAAAAATTAGGATATATAAAAGTAGTCTTGACTTCAGAGTTGAATTCTAGCTGTTTCTGTTGAAACAAAAATTTTATTTTATGCTTAAACTCTTTCTACCTTTTGAAGTAGTGACCTTCCTTTTACAGGTGTATAGTCAACATGCAGAATTCTATAATTTTCAAAACAAACAACATTCTTAAAATCCTGACATGAAAATTGATGAAACTTTTTACATCTAATCCAAGTATTTGCCTCTTGTACTGGCATCAGGCATTGTGTAGCATGTGTTTATCCCTTATCCATTAATCTCTTACTGTATTAACATAAGCTGCTTTAGTGCTGATAGTGTTTTACTTCAGTGTTCAGTGTTGGCCTGCCCTTCATTTTGCCAAAAAGGTAAATGTAGTTAAAGACAAACAAGTAGCCAATCCATTGTTTCTAGTCAGGGTTCAGAACCTCTGTAATTTAGTGGAAGTCCTGTTTTGGATGCTAAAATTTCCTTTTTTTTTTTTTATTTATTCGTGCTACAAAATTTATTTGGTACTTTTTCTGTGCAAGAAACCAAGTTTTTGCTCTTGAGAGGGGACACTTTCCTTTCAAAATGATGTCAGATAGTAGAAGGAGCTAAGAGGAAATATATTTTGGAAGTAAATTGGTGAATTGCTTGTGGGTTTGTAAGTGTGACTTGTAGATATGAATGTTTTGGACAGTTTGAGATGCCTGTTGACATACAGGTAGGTAAATTAGGAAATAGGATATATGATTCTACAGCTCAAGGTAGTGATAAAACCAGAAATAGAATTTGAAAAGTTATCAGTGTAAATATGGTTCTGAATGCCAGTGGACGTAAATCACCTACAAGAGCATATTTATATACATTTAAATATATTCACGTGTGTGTGTGTGTTCAGTGTAGGTAACAATTGGTTTGTCTGTATCATACGGTATTTTCACTTCACTTTCATTTGTAATTCTAGCCCCTGCTGCCCAGTTCTTTATCGGTTGAAGATGCTGCCATGTTGCTCCAACAGGTGATGAGAGCATTCAACAAACAGCCTTCAGGTGTAGTCTTTAGCAACACTGTTGTGGTCAGTGAAAAATTTATAAATGACTGTCTAGAACTGTTCAGTGAGCGGATGCACCAAAAAGCTGAAAAGGTATGTCGGATATCCTCTTCCATTAATTTTAACAGCAGTCACATCAGAATCATCTGTTGTCTTCTGGAAATAGGGCTGAGTGGTCTGCACAGTAAGGAGCACTTTACATCATCTTCCTTTAAGGGATCATTCTTCTTTTCTCTCAGATTTCTTTTTCTCTGTCTTCATTCCCATCAGAATGTATGTTAGAACTTTGAGAAATAATTTTAGAAATTAAAATCACATAAATTACTTATTTTTTAACTAGGTTATCTGAGGATATTGGTTCAATTAATGTAGATAAATAATATGTGTGATATATAAATATTCATCATATATATACTGTATATAGTATAGTATGTATAACAGATGTTTCACTTATATTATATTGCATTTAGCTTGATTTTTATATATAATAAAATATACTTTCTCCAAAATATTATTTGCTGTTAGCACTTCATCCTTTCTATATGTATATATGCATATGTGTATATATATATATGTATATATATATGCACACAATATATGTATATATAAAATATATCTACTAAATACAGCAGAGCATTATTAATTTTACCTAGCTAAAGTACGCAAACAGGATAATTTACAGACAGAGAAAAATTTTGTCACTAGCCAGTTGATTAGAGCAGTGCTAAGTATTTTGAGGCAGAGTTAGTGCCAGTTTCGTTTTACTGAGTATTCAGTCTGCCCCATCTCTCGGTAAAGACTGCTCCCAGGTAAAACAGGCTTCCCCCGGGGTCTGAAACGGCTCATTTATTCAGGCTTATTAAATATGTTAATTTTTATATTTATCTATACTTCTTATAAGCTCTTTAATGGTATAAATTGAGGTAATTTTCTGCATGTTTACTGATGAGTATCAAAGAGTTTGATATTTGTAAACCTGATTTAAACACGCTTACACTTCTTTAGATAAGAAGACCTCCAGTTGTTTTTGTTTCCATTTTTTTAATCTTCAAAATTAAGAAATGGTGATACCTACTCTGCAAAGGAAAATATAAAGGGCTGTATATAAAATCTCTGGTACATGATAGCGACCAGTTATTAGATTATTTTTTATTTATGATTTTTTATTTAATACCTAGTGATTATTTTTTTTTCTTTTCTTGGGCTCTTTCCTCTAACTACAAAAATAGGTTCAGGAAATGGTAATTTTATCACTTGAATTATAGACATTCTAAGCATTTTTCTTTAGAAAACTTATTTTTTTTTTTTTTTTTTTTTTTTTTTTGGTTTTTCTCCGG